CTGCCAGTGGGTGCGGGAGGAGGACAGCGGGGCATGGGGACAGAGTCAAGGGCACTTGGGAAGTGGGCACCGCCTCAGCATTGAGCACCTTGGTAGTTTCAGCCAGGTCCGGAGAATGTTGGATTTGTTCTGGGAAACAGGGAAGTCCTTTTCAAGGTCAAAAAAGGGATTCATTTGGCATATTAGAATGTTATCTTAAATAAAATAATGAAAGCAATGATTTGAAAAAACACTGCATGAGAAGGAAATAGATAATTATTCTGATTTGTTTTCTCAGGTTGGTCAGCCTCAAGGCCAGTTAGGGATTTTCACCCCTGGACCGTCTGAGTTTGTTGATGGAGGAGTCGGAATTTGTGGAGGGAGAAAGAAAGAGTCTGCCATTAGCTCAGGAAGCACCTTGGGCCTTGGATTCAGGACAAGGAGAAAGGCCAAGAAGTCTGAGCTGGGTGGATTGAAATTTGGGGTGTATTTTAAAGGGACCTGGAGGGCTCCACGGCAGTAATTAGCCAGTGAAACAAAAGACCCCTTATAACTTAAAAACAGCAAAAAGGCAAAACAAAAAAGATGATATGGATCCTTGCCCATGTATAAGTTAGGAACAACAATGTAAAAATACAAGTGACACATGCCAGGAAGGAGAGATCCATGGTGCTATGAGCACGTGGAATAGGAGAGGCCCCGTTGGCCCAGAGTGGTGGATGGTCTGGATTGATGTTTGGTAGGAAAGAGGGTGGCAGAGGTGACTTTACAACAGCCAGTACTGGTCTTTGTTCAGGGTGGGGTAGAGAAAAGGCTATATAGATGAGGAAGGTGATGGTTCAGGGTCTTTGGCAGGGCCCAGAACAACTCTTATAATGTCATTTGGAGGGTTGGGTCAGAGAAACATTTTGCTTTAGGCCAGTATGTAACAGTACTGCAGGAAAAAAACGAATGGCTCTCTGAAAAACATAAGGGGGCAGATGATTATCTTGAGCTTTTCCTAGGCTTCTTCTCCTACCCTGCTGTTGTAAATTTGCATTATGGCTCATGGGGAGCACCCTTAGGTTGATGGGGATGCCTGAGTGTCTCCTTGTTCTGTTGAAGGGTAGTGTGGATTGCTGCTGGCTTTGCAATCAGGAAGGCTGACCTTGGCCAGCTGTGGGTTTCTCTGGTGCTGGCTCTCTGAAGGTCACCTGGTAGCACCTGGTGATGTTGGAGAAAAGCTCTGTCCAGGTTGTTCCATTCAGGGAGCCAGCTTACTCCCATCTCTTATCTTTGCGGTAAACAGCATTTACTTTGCCATTCTTGGCTTGAGATTGCTCAGGCTGTTATATGACCACAAAGTGGAAATCTGGAAAGAGAAGTGCTCAGCCGACTTGGCAAGTTTCCGGGTTTTGCATTGATCTGCAGTGCCCTGCCCTTTGGTGGGCATGAAGTACCTGATCAGAGTGCTCTGTGCCTTGGAGCTGTTCCTCGAAGGCCACCTTGATGACTGGATGCTCCCAGATCCTTTGTGAAGCTACACAGGTGTATGAAGGCTCAGATCCACTGCTGAGACGGAGATAAACCATCCCTAATAGTGTATCGGGAGGCAGACATTGGGTCATGGTATGTAAGGGACTGGGGCAAAGAGGAAGGCCCCCTTCACTTACCCAGTTGCTATTCTGGCTGCTGGCTTTTTTTCTTTTTTTTTTGAGACAGAGTCTCGCTTGTTGACCAGGCTAGAGTGAGTGCCGTGGAGTCAGCCTAGCTCACAGCAACCTCAAACTCCTGGGCTCAAGCAATCCTGCTGCCTCAGCCTCCCGAGTAGCTGGGATTACAGGCATGCGCCACCATGCCCGGCTAATTTTTTTATATATATATTAGTTGGCCAATTAATTTCTTTCTATTTATAGTAGAGACGGGGTCTTGCTCTTGCTCAGGCTGGTTTCGAACTCCTGACCTCGAGCAATCCGCCCGCCTCAGCCTCCCAGAGTGCTAGGATTACAGGCGTGAGCCACGCGCCTGGCTCTGGCTGCTGGCATTTTTAAAAAATTTATTTAAAATACAAAGAAGTTAGGTGATGGGAGTCATAATGCAATGCAGAGTGGGCAAACATACAAGAATGTGCAGTGTCCCTAAAATCTGGATCCTTGGATTCTTCCTGGGGGATACTGAATTAATGACCTCGAAGAGATTGTTCTGGAACTTCTGAGGCCTCTGGGTGAAATATACCCTTTTCCTGCTGGGCATTAGAATCACCTGTAGGGGATTTTGAACAATGCCTGGGCCTCCAAATCAATGACTCTGATTTAGTGGCTCTGGGACCTAGGGAATTTATGTTTTGTTTTGTTCTCTAGGTGATTCTAATTTCCGGCCAGATTTGGGAACCTGCCCACCAGTTACAGATCCAGGGATGCCCTTCCCACTCTTCTGGTGAATTCTGCCTCCCTGTTTCCTCATACAGGCCTTGAACCCTGACCCCTGACCATGGCCACAGCCATGTGTTTGGCCTCTGCTCCTCTGTGTGCCCCTTTCCAGCTTGTTTTCTCAGAGTGCTTTCCCCTGACTTTGCCTCAGCCTGGATCAGGGCTGGAGGTTCATCTCTCTTTTATCTGTTAAGGAAAGGAGCACTCTGCATGGGGATTTAGAGGGGTAAATACTCTGGGACATTTTTCACAAAACTCCTACTTGAGGCTTGAATGCACAGTGGATTCTAAGCTGTGGAAGTCCAGGCTCTGGGGTGGAGATAGGAAGGTTTCATGAGTGGCACGAGAAAACATCTTCATTTACTGTCTTCTCAGAGACATCATGAAAGGCTCAGTGTTTTTACCGCCACGTTTCTTGGGCCCCACAGATTCTGAGACATCGTTGGTTGTCCTGAGGGAGTCATAGGTAGGGATGGCTGGGGAACAGGGCCAAATTGGTGGCATTCTTGATGTGGGCACTTGTTGAGATAAACTTTCGAGAGTGCATATGTGGGGCTATGCATCGAGTCTCAGCAGACGCTGGGTCATGTGGCATAAGGCAGGGGTTTTTAAGACCTAGAAGTAATATGGGATCTGGAGTAGACCAAATTGGAGGGGCTTTCTCACCTCATTGCTTTTGCTTATATTGTTCCACTTTCCTTCCATACCCACCCCCTTCAATCTACCACCCCTGAGTCTGGTCTGCTGCCATCCAGGCTTTAGGATTTCCTCAGGCCTCTGTCCATGCTAAGGAGTGTCTCTCTGCCTCCGCTGCATTAGGTGTCCCTGCTCAGTGCTCCATGTCACACATGCATACCCAGATCATTTTGCTTACCCATTGTGTTAGGATTCATTTTGAGTGTCTGGATCTGTCTTTTATTCAGATAGAACAACTTAAGGGTCTTGTTCACTTTTGTATTTCTATCACCTTGCACACTGCTTGGCATATAATAGGATTCGGTAAATATTTGTTGAGTGAATGAATCAATAAATTCTTTGTAGGGGTGATATAAATAACTTCCACCAAGATCTTATTGTTGAACATTGCTCATTCATTACAGTACTAGTACCTGGTACGTAAACTTATTTACAGTCTTATATTCAAGATGCTTATTAAGGGAGATTTTTCTAGCATGAAGATGCAAATTAAGGGAGATTTTCGTAGCATAAAGAGTGTTCCAGACAGTTTGGGACGTTAACTGAGCATTTTTGAAGTATTAGATGCATGGCATTTGTGAGATTTTTGTTGTTGTTGTTTGTACTTAAAGTAGTGATATTTTTGAAAAATGTCACCTTAGGAAACAAACCCTTAGAGTACTTGTTATAATTTGCTCTTATATTCTTTGGTGACAAATAAAGGTATGGCAAGCATTTCAGTATAATAGAAAGTGGGTGGGATCCTTCAACTGTATTTCCTTGACTTTAATACTTTTCTTAAAGCTAAGTATTACTTTTGATTTAATTTTTATTAATTTTGTGTGTATTTGTTTTTGTATTTTATTTTTATTTTTTTAAAGACAGGGTCTCACTCTGGTCACTTAGGCTAGAGTGCAGTGGCCTGATCATAGTTCACTGCAACCTCAAACTCCTGGGCTGAAGTGATCCTTCTGCCTCAGGTCCTGAGTAGCTGGGATTATAGGCATGTGCCACTGTGCCCAGCTATGTTTATTTTTTTTGCTTCCCAGTATAAGACTACTATGTAGTAGAGCCTAGTGGAAGAGTTCTGAATTGGCAGTCAAGAGACCTAGGTTCTAGAATGAGCTCTGCCTCTAACTGGGAATAGGCAAGTCAGTGTCCTGCCTATACTCATACAAAATGGGAGTGTTATACTTGTTCAGGAGTTGCAAATGTCTACAGGAGTGAGGCTACCAACTTGAGTTACTATATGTGTGCTACCTTTTTTTTTTTTTTTTTTTTGGAACTTGGCCCCTTTTGTTTTCCCACTTTCATTAGAATCATAAGAAGAAGATATTTTTGTACCACAAGAAAATAATAATGCAAGAGAAATTATAAATGACAATTGTAGCTCTTCTCTGTGTTGAGGAGACAGGGAATGGTAGGGCCTATGGCATATTGGAGCAGACAAGCTTGCCTATGAAAGGTAACTGCTACTTAGCATCAGCTGATCATTGTCAGACATAAATGTGGGCCATGGGGACATATCTGATTTTTTTTTTTTTAAAGAGAATCCAGAAGTCTGGGTTTTCGTGTGACAGCTCTGATTTTTAAGTTTGGCTCACATTTTCTAAGCATATCTACAGATGAAATATAATACCTCTACAGGCTAGATGTAACCCATTGTGCTTTCACAGTTTGTGACCCCTGTTAAAGATGATCTCTAAAGCTCCTTTCTACCCCAGCTCCTATAATTCTAATGGAGACCATTTCAGCTGATGAATTGAAGATTGTTTTATTTGGGAAGTCAGAGTGAGGAAGGGAGTTGGGCTAAAAGAAGATTGGAGCCTTGAGCCAAAATGGGGTGCCCAGCAATTGGTGTTTGGATGGATCCCCCTGGGGAAAGGCCATAGACTGCCTGTGATTCACACCAGGTATTTTGTACATTTGTCATTGCAGGAGTTGACATCTGTTGGAAGAGTTTGTGAAACCCTCTCTCTGCCCAGAATTCCAGGACCAATGCATCTTCCCACCACCTTAAGCCAGTGGTGAATATATGTGTTTTTGTTTTCTCCTTCAGCCACAGTGAAGGGAAATACTTTCAGTTGACTAGAGAGTGTGATTTGCTGAGAACCTTCTGTCCTTTCTATTACAGAAGAAAGGATGCTGGGCTTGGGCCTAGGTATGCTTGGTTTCTGGTACCTACTTGGTTCTGCCACTTTTACTGTGGGATCTTAGGTGAGGTGTTTGACCTCTTGGGACCCCAAATGAGAAATGTATCCTGCCCTATTTACATCCCAAGGTTGCTTGCTTTGAAGACTATAATGATAATGTGTGCAAGAATGCTTCTAAGGGAACAAAGCACTGGGCAAATATAAGGTAATACTATTAGGCTCTGAGATGTAAAGCAAGGCAAATCTTCCCCCACACCGTTTACATTTTATTAACTTTATAGCATACCTTTTCAAGCTAGAGTTCCAGCTCTAGGAAGAAATAGCTGCCAAACCTAGCCCACTTCAACTGACCACTTGTAGGGGGCTTCCTGCCTTTGCTTTTGTAATGTTCATAGACACCTTCACCTGCTAATCCCATAAGAGAAGGTATTAGAGCAGGACACTTCTGAGCTAACAAATACATTGAAATGTGAACATATGTGGAAATGTGGGTTTTAAATACTTATTTTCTGAGACTTTCAGACTAATTCTTCAAGGGATTTGCATTTTTTCCCCTTTCTACCATTATAGCTGCCATTTTCTTGAAAGGTGAATTAACTGCCTTTCACAATTACCTTCATTTTTATTTGAGATCAGATAATTTCACAGTTCACAAATGTGCTTCCTTTTTTGAAAAAAAACTTAATCACTCATCACAGCAGGTAAATGTCTTGCCTCTATGACAGTTGAAAGAGGCAAAAATATGTCCTTAATAACAGTGTGTTCCACTGCTGAGATGAGAGTGCTTCAAGGTGTGATGCTAGTTGATGTTGAAGGTCTTGGGCCAGAGAAGTAGAATGGCCCATGCATCTTGATTCCAGTTATTCTTTGTAGAAAAAAGCTGCCCTGTTTAACACTGACAACCTGACCAGCTCCTACTGTGTGGATCAGGTGCTTGTGTGACCCAGTGGCATGGCCACTGGGGAGCATGCAGCGTGCTGGGTGTTAGAGCAGGAAGGAAGAGCAGTCCGTCAGGACAGCAGGCCCAGCTTAGGGAACAAGGTGAGCCATGGCTGGCTGGCTGTCCAGACTGCTCTGTCCAAGGAGACACCATGGTAGGCAGGAAGAGCTCTGTCATGGAAGTCCTCAGGGAAGCAGGTGGCCTCAGGGAGCAGGACATTTATTCATTCAGCAAATGTGTATTTTTATTCTGTGTTAAGGCACTGCTCTGGGCACTGGGGATTCAATGGTCACAAGACAGACTGTGGGTCTGTGCCTCCCTGGAGCTAAGATTTGAGTGGGGATGATGAATAAGAACACAAGCCCTGGCCGGGCGCGGTGGCTCACGCCTGTAATCCTAGCTCTCTGGGAGGCCGAGACGGGCGGATTGCTCAAGGTCAGGAGTTCGAAACCAGCCTGAGCAAGAGCGAGACCCCGTCTCTACTATAAATAGAAAGAAATTAATTGGCCAACTAATATATATAGAAAAAATTAGCCGGGCATGGTGGTGCATGCCTGTAGACCCAGCTACTCGGGAGGCTGAGGCAGGAGGATCACTTGAGCCCAGGAGTTTGAGGTTGCTGTGAGCGAGGCTGACGCCACGGCACTCACTCTAGCCTGGGCAACAAAGCAAGACTCTGTCTCAAAAAAAAAAAAAAAAAAAAAAACACAAGCCCTGTGCGGGCAGGGACTTCGCTTGTCATGTTCACTGCTGTATCCCCAGCTCTTAGAAGAGCACCTCATATCTGATGGGGATTCACTAAGTATTAATATTTTATGAATGAAGCAAACAAACAGCTAAATAGATACTATAATTTCAGGTAGTAATAAGTGCTATGAAAAAAAAACAGGCAGGGTGAGGGGCTGGAGGGGCTCTTTGTGAAAGAATGGCCTGAAAAGGCGTGGAGGGGAGGAGGGAGGGAAGGAGGAGTGGAAGGAATGAGGGAGGGATGAACAGGAGGGAAGAAGAGTGAGGGAGAGATTGAGACCCAAATGGAGCAAAGGAATCTGGGGAGGAGTGTTTAGGCAGAGGGAACAGTAAGTGAGAAGACAATTCTTTGATGTAGGATGAGCTTGTCATGATAGGGGGACAGGAAGGCAGCCAGTTTGGCTGGACTTGGGCTGGGGGTGGTTGTAGGGAGGCAGAGTGATATGAAATGAGATCAGAGTGGTAGGTGGGAGCCAGATCTTGTAGGCAATGATAAGGAATTTGAATTTTACTCTGAGAATGACTGGATTCCAGTGGAGTTTGAGTAGAATAGTCGATATAATCTTCTTTGTGGTTTACAATTATTCCTCTGAATACTGAGTTGGGAATAAACTTTAGGGGCAAGAGTAGAATCCGTATTACCTGTAGGAGGCCCTTCCAGTAGTCCAGGCAAGAGATAAGGGTATAGTGTGGATGAAGGTAGTGATCATAGAATGATATGAAGTGGTCAGGCTCAGGATACATTTTGAATGTAGAGCCTGCTGGATTGGATGTGGAATGTGAGCAAAAAGGAGAGTTAAGGATGAGTTTGTTGTGTTTGGTTAGGTGATTGACATTGGCATTCACTGAGATGAGGATCAAAGAGGGCCCCTGATGGATGTGCCATATTAAGTTTGAGATTCTCATAGAGAGAGAGAGTTGGCTGGGATTGGAAATGGTACCTAAATGGCATATAGATGATATTTAAAGCTATGAGACTGAATGAGATTGTTGAGTGAAAGAAAGGAGGAAATGTGTAGGATTTTGACTGAGAAGAGAGGGAAGACAAAGGGTGGATTTTTCACATAAAGTCCCTGTTAAGAAGTAAATGAAGACACGTAATGAATATGGTTTCCATTCTATGCAAATATGAATTATACAGATGAGATAATGTGATAAAAAAGTAGTGATAAAGCTCTACCTTATGTAAAAAAGTTTGAAATACTCTCCCAAATCAAGAAAATTAGTTTTTGGATTACATAATGATAAATCTGGTCAACTGAGTGAATTATAAATGGTGCTTATGCAGTTGGCACATGGGTGTGCTTTTGGCTGGCAAGCAGAAAGATCCAGCATCCTTTGCCAATAAAGCCTGCAAACTACATTGTTCCGTAAATGCACTGGAACTTCTATCTGCCATTTTGATGACTAAGCTTAATTTATGGTTAATACATTTCAGATACTTTTTTCAACCTATAATCATATCATCCTAAAGTTTATTAATTGAAAATTCACTAAGTGAAAAACATGCCTGAGAATCAGTAATTTTGCAATGAAAAGTTAGATGTGATAAAATTCTATGAAGAAGACCAAACAGGCACCATGAGTCTCAGGGCTACAATTTAGAAAATGTTTAGGATATCTTCAAAACATCAAAGATAAATGCTATAAGATGAAAAGCAGCAAAAATATACTGTGATGCTTATGTAATAGTAGATGTACGCATTACGCCCATACTCCTTGACTGCCATTGACTGATGAGAGCAAACCAGTTCTGAATCATACATGTCATCTTCTCTTTGTGGGCTTCTGGCATAAAAGGCACCTGCTCCATATTGGCTTTGTCCATTTCCCAGACAAATTGCCCTATTTTAAATTAATTTTAAATTGCCAAATTGCCTCCTTCCAAATTCTCACTGGGAACCTTAGCTTTCCCATTTAAGGCTTCCTGGTGAGTTTCTTTAGTCTTGCCATCTGCAGCCACCATAGACACTTTTGCCCCCTTCCCACCTCCCCAGCTCTAAAGCCTTCCTGCCTCCTCCTCTGCCTGTGTCTGTGAGCCTCTCAGTTTAGAACTGCCCACTTTTGAATATCCTCAAGATTTCCTTCTTTGAAAACATTTTCACCCTCTTCCTCTCCACCTTGTCTTCTCAGGTCTTTTTTGGAAATGATGGGAAATCATTCCCATCAAAGGAATGGGAAACTTACGCAGCTGCTGAGGGCCGCGTGATGAACGGCATTCTAGAATGGGATGCGTCAAATCCGCTGGGCGGTGGGGGGCCCTAATTTGCTTTTACATGTATTCAGGACTCCCCAGTTTCAGTGAAAATATTCTGAGTGGGACTCCTGGCATCTGATCTCTGGAAAACAAATCTTGATTGTTCTGTCTGTAACAAATGGTTTATGGCAAAGCGCAGGTTTCGGTGGAATGGTATTCATGACGATTGGCATCAACCTTGGTTTTCATTTGTCTTTTTTTCTCATGGAGTGGAGCCTAAATAAAATTAAAATAATGAAACTTACTGGCAGTCATGGGGGGAGGAGTTCTCCTCCCTGAAGTGATTTAAGGATTAAAAAAAGAATGGGCCCTACCTATGTCCCTGGAGACTCAGAGTGGTGGGGTATTTAAACAATGGTGGTGTCCTCCTTAAGTTAAAAAAATAAGACTGGGCTTACAGAACAGTCTTCAGTGCGTGTACACTTTTAGATCATCTCAGGAGAGGCCAGGAGGTGGGAAGGAGACTCACTTTTCACTATATACCCTTTTGTACTTTAAAAATTTTTTGTATTATGTTTATGTATTATGTTTAAAAAGAATAATAGCATCTCTTTTATTAATAATCTAGAAAAATTTAAAGTTCCCTCATAATTCAGCTTTCACTATTATAACTTGGTTTTATAACTGTTCTTGCTCCATGTGTCTTTTGATTGAGGTCATTGCCTGTTCACAGTGTCTCTACTTAGTCTGAGGCTTCACATTCATTAGCAACTTGGGACTAGGGTTCTTTAGCTAGAGTTTCAAATTTATGCATGTATAGGGATATGTCAGGCCCATTTCTTTCTTTCCTCCTCCCTTGCCTTATTTCTAAAAGGACTTAAGGCTGTTTGTGGTCAATATTTTATTCAACGGCTTTAGACAAATATGGATTTGAAATGAGGTGTAGTTGCCATGAGTTGAGCCACAAATTATGGCCATTTCAACTGAACG